CCACATGTGATATGTTCATGTCCAGCGTAAAGTGACCACAAGTAAAGCCGTGCCTGGTAGTATCACTCGCTAAACTTTTATCTTGTTACGTTAAGCCAATTTTCTCAGTATCATTACATTATGGCTTTTCACTCCTTTTAAATTCCACAGAGTACTGTGGAGGCCGTTTAGGTGGAGATGATTCTGGTTTTAATGGAATACATTAATTTGTCCTCGGAGAATGTTTATTGTATTGAGAAGGTAGCGCCACACAGTCTGGTCGTACGTAAAGCTCTTTTGTTACGAAAAATACCAATCCACACTTCAACTACATAACACTGCAAAAAAACACAACACCTCTCCACTCAGTTCTCTCGATTTCTCTATACACGGCTAAAGAATCCTTGTAGTGACCACAGAACCATCAAAGGCCAGAAAAACGGCCACAAATCGTCTTAACTCACCTTTTATGATGTTTAATCTCAATTTTAAACACTCTAATCGCAGCAGGTAGCTCTGTTCAAGTGTGTCCGAATTATATAATGTGCTTAAGTGGTCAAGGAGAATTCGCGACAAGTGTGTAGCTATTCTTGGCTCCATGTACAGCAATGTTCCGGAGGATTTGTAGCGATTCCGTGTCCGCATGTTACAATGCTTTTTGATTTGGTCGTGGAATAGCTTCACAAGTGTGTTTGAATAACGTACTTATGTAGAGTTAATTAAAAGAAAAACATTACAAATTCGTGGTCATAAAACTTAAAAGAAACATAACGGAGAAGCGAACAACACTGTAATCTGTTTGCTTTTCATACCACCGTAGCGTACTTGTGCATGTCTCGCGGGCGTGTCTGGACATCATGTGGACTTAACTGACCGCTGTCCACTCAAATTGACAACTCAGAATAGGGTAACAATAGGAATGTACATAATCTTGACAATGATCTGCTTGCTATTGTTTCTCGATCGTAATCAGTAAGCCTCTTTTTGACTTCAGTGTTTATGGAGCTTTATAAGCTTCCGGTAAAGAGAGATAAGAATCTCTCGTTATTTTATCGCTGTCACTGTTAATTACTGTTAAAATATGATAATATTCCGTCTGTCATTGTATATGAAACGGATCGTAATTTTCCGATATCTTTACACGCTACATGAACATGAACTGTCTGTTAAAAACTGATCAATATAAAAAGATAAAACTGATAAATAGATGCACGCTCTGCATCATTTTCTTGTTTGATGTCTTCACACTATCTATAACCTTATAATTCTATTCCGTAATTTCTGTTTTGTGATTTTTTAATGCATGTCCCTAGTTTTTGATAACTGAGCATGTAGAGGTCGTCAACTATTCATTAATTACAAATAATTATGTTGTATAATCTTCGTCAAATATTACTTACTGTAATATTTATATATTGTGTTATATACTGTAATTATATCGTTATAAGATAATAATTTCTTTGTCAATAACATACCTTGATAATATTGACCAATTACACATACCTTAATTATCATAATTCCCTGGGGTTTTGTTAATATATTGAATATAACCTTATCAGGTTACTGTATACAGAGCTGTCACCGATAACGATATTTATAAAGAGAAATACACTTTTCCTATATATCTACATTCTAGTAAACAGATAAGTTGTAGTATTGTTAATTGTATCTGATAATGTTTTCCATTTAAATTGTTTATGTATTATATATCAATACAATAGTATATGTATGTAATACAATGCTGTTTAAAACATTTACAATAAAAATAGTTTATCGTGTTTGTTATGTCAACCATAACAGTATAGATAATTCACATGAACTAAGACATGGCAACTTCAAATTTTACATTACCATCAACAATTTGAAAATCGGAGAAAATTCTGTAAAGCTGAAAAGCATTTATTTTAAAAATAGTGTTTAAACACAAATTTAACATCGTCCGTAACTAATATATTCATTCATATGAGATTTTACCAGCTCACTATAAACAACTATTCGTGCACCTGCTCAGAACAATATGAATTGATCAATACATTTTCATTTGCATATCTGCTGTTTATAGACAGTTGTGGCCATTGAAAACCTTATTTACCTTCCCTATGGAGGTGATTTCTAGAATTCATATTTCGACGCTCGATCGAATACCCACCTGACTTCATGAATAATGCATATATTTGCCTGGAATTGATTGCATTCATCAGTTTCCGTTGAACATGAGGAAATATACTCACGTACACTAAAACTGATGAATATGTGTTTCAATATTTAAAAACGGATATGTTCCTTTCACTGCAGACTTTTCTATTAAGACCGGAAGTTGTTATTCATATACGACAGGTCTACCTGTAATGGTATATCCTACAAAGTTATATTGACATACACGTATCGATAACTAATTGATACTATTACCTACAATATTGTTTTTTAAGGGGGACACAATATTAAAATTAATAACAAAATTCACCTCGACTTTCATGGTTGAGGTCAAATTCAGTCAATGTCTCATTTGTCATACTCCAAAATATAGTAGAAGTAGTATTTTTATGCTTATTTAAAACAAACATGCATATAAACTTCTCAATCACTTATGTTTTTCGCTAATATCAGGACATAGTATGTAAGATAGGATTCGGTGCCTCCGTCACGGACAGGATTCCATTGCTGTTTCCGGGACAAACAATACATTTAAAGGGGTTTGATTCCAAACGAGACTGCACTTTAGCTCTTAAAAATCGGTGTCTTCTTAAAGGAAATGATTATCATCAAGTCCGACTTTAATAGACATACGATGTTGTAGCTTAAAAAGTGTATACTTACAATTTCATTTAAGGAGTTCTTGCGTATACGCAGATTCTATGATGTACATGTTCTCTATTCAGTAAGAGATATTTCTATATAATGGACACATGATCTCTTATCTCAACATGATATTTGTAATTCATCACATCTCCCAATATTGTAATATGACTGCTTCATTTGATCAATGTCTAACCGTTATTGGTGATTGACAAATTATCTCTCCATTTTTTTTCACAATAAAAAGATTAGAAATGCCAACTACTTAATTAAAATTAAATACCAGGTACTTAGCGAGTATAATTAGCGGATGTACTAGTAATTATGACGGCGAGAGTATTTATTTATTTGTTTAATTGAAACAATGAAATGGTTTAGATAAATCTTTTCACATTTTAATTAGTCACTTAACACACATACTTTGTAAATAATTGCATGTTTTAATTAGTCAGACGAGTCCCGAGGGTGATTCTAGTGTCCTGTTAATAATTACTAGCTATGTTTTCTCGGCTCTCCCTCACACGCTTGGGTGAACCTGACACCCAGGGAGAGAGCTACTCCGAGGGTCGGGGTACTCAGCCCCACCCCCGAGCATGGGACTATATATACACCCGGTTTGATATCGATCGCTACATTCAGTCTAAACTGTCTAGATCAGACATTGAAATCCATACTTGAATCTGCCTATATAACCAAGTCCATCTTATATTGATGAAATATCGACCCCTCTGATATTCAAGAAACCCCGAAGAACTTTACAACTTATAAGATATCTGCTGAATTATTTCTTTAGTTTTCAAGTAGCCCTTCAGCTATTTTGTACTTAGAAAACAAGCAGACTTTAAGTTGAACTATGGAAGATCCCGTAGTTATGTATGACGTCACAGGGACAACAGATGATTTTCAGGTAAATTGATGTGAATATACAGTTATCTATTTATCAATATTGTCTAAATTATCTATATTAAAATGACATGATATCGACACATCATTAGGATAGGAGGAATTCTAAGGACTCCCACGGTGCTAACTCCTGTTAGTTCTAGTTAATGTGATTTCGTGAGTAGTATAATACAAATTGTATCACGCTCTCGTCCAGTGGATAATACGATTATATCTCCCTGTCGAATTTTATTTTTCTGCTTACACTTTTTACTCAAAATTCGGCTTTTCTTTTCTTATTGAACCAAGTTGTCGCCAGTTGTTCGTCTAGGAAATAAACTTTAAATCCTATTAACTAATTGACAAAAAGACACAGGTACTCAATTTCATCTTGGCTTAATGACGTAACGAGAAAGACCGGTCTTATCCAGTATAGTGTTGTCTTAGTGTTAAAAACCTTCTGTTGAAATCGATTACCAGCGCTCCGTCGCTTTGATGACAAAGAAACGTGTTTTTATTGACTTTCTGTGTTTACTACCTGTTATTCTTACAAACAGGATATACTCACGGCACAACGTGTTTAACATACTTGTAAATGTAATGTTATGGCATTGAGTAGCCCTCTGAATCTAGTCATATACATATCTAATTACATATTCGTTCTCAAAAACAATTCCATTGGAAATAGACATTTGTTCAATCAGACAAAATATTTATCAATTCAATCACATTCATTTACTTGATAAGAAAGTTCCTTATTCCAATTAAACATAAATAATTTAATGGTAAGTTAACCATCTCCGTACAAAAGAAAAAACTCAAAAATTCAATTTTAGCGAGTACTTTCTTCGTTGTTAGAACAAAGCTTATTACATACAAATTTCCACTTGATCGGTAAGCTTGCGGTAAAGTAGGCGGAGCTTAACCACATTCAACAGCGAACCAATCATCCATGTAAGACAGTAATCCAATCAAAAGCATCCATTTAGTGTAACCCCGCCCACACGTGACTTCCATGCAGTAGCAATGAACCAAGGGCCGTCCCATCGGTATAAGCAGTCATTTAGCTCGCGGTTTATTTAGAAATCGTGCCTCTGGGCGAGATGAACGCTAGTGTCTTGTCTGAAGTACACACGACGATCGCTGTTGAACCGTATACAAGGATTTAGGGAATAACAGTTTCTCTTCTAGAAATTCTCAAGAAATATTATCACCTCATTTTCACATGTAGTAAATTTTCATCGAGTTAATAATGCTACATGGAGGAATTCTATAGTGTTGTGACACGCATATTTGGATTGCTATCCCGTGGGGTGGCGTTTGTGAGGGTGTGACCCCCCGGTATGGCACAAGTCAGCCCCGTGGGACATAATCATATTGGGGCTACTGCTGAGGAGGTAGGGGGACAACAGAAAGGCGTGGTAAACGGAACAGCTAGTCTGACGGACTTGGATCACAACTCCCAGTACTACAAACCACAAGTTACAACTATGCCTTCGGCTTTCGGTATCATAGATTCCGAGGTGATTATACAATAGCTTACCTGTAGGCTGTACCGTGAACTACCCCGAGGAAATTACTCTTTTTATTGACATTACGGATTTTTTTATCGATTCGTTTTTGAAATATCAATATGAAATATTAATCCTTTATTGTATTTTAATGTATTTACTAAATATATTTACTTGTATTTTCGAGGTTGACATTCAGGTGCAGATATATCGTGTGTAGCGTACAGAGGTACAATAAATACACTTACTGATGTACGTTTGAAGGAGAAAGTTTTCCATATGGTTGACTGACACAGTCATCCAAATCATCCCGGATCTCTTTTATTAATATATATTTGTCACGATGACAATTAACCAGCTGTACTTAATATTTGCTCATAATTAATATGTTTTGTTTCGTATTTTTTCTAGGACCGACGCGATGTGGTCAGCAGCCAGGGTTTGGGCCAACTGGTCACTTCAAGTGCAGGGTCATTTCCTCCTGCCCCAAGACTTTCCCATACACCTACATCAGATTTCCAGCCTCCGTACTTTCCCCCTCCCTACAATCTACCATCCCAGCAAAGTATGGAATTCCATCACCCTCATTTTAATACGGACTCTTACTCCCATCTTGGAAGTTTCCATCAAGGAACGGTCACACAACAGCATTACCACCAGCTTCATACTCCTGACTCCCGGAACGTTCTCCGCCCCCGGGAGGATGGGCTACACAACATGCACCACGGACTCCCTGCCCCTCATGACCCACGGAGGACGGAATACGGTGGGATGAGGCGACCGGACATTCTAGTCCCCGGTGGACACCATCTTGGTTTTGATCAGGACCCAACCATATTAAATATACACACAGGAAACGGGTTACAAGTTTTAGATGAAGGCGTTCACCAGGTATGTTAATCTTTTATATTTATTTTAATTTAAACATGTAAAGATTCTTCTATTTTAATTGTCACACATTTAAATATTCTACTAAATGAGTTGGTTTGTTTCTGTGGATTTCTTAAACTATTATTGAGTTGTCACAACTGTCTTGTCATTAGACGTGGTGAGTTCTCTCTAATATCAGATTATATCAACGCCTCGAATGATTAGCACAGTCACACGAGTATTATACTAAAGCTAGCTTAGGCCACCAAAGGTTCCCTACAAACGTCTCTCAACAAATTGTCGGTTACCAAAGCAATATATTTCCTCAATGTCTATCATTAAAATCGCATAGAGACATTCTCAAGTTACAATATTCTACCTCAGAAAATTTCACCTCGTTTCGTCTCGTAGAAATTATTATGAAATATCGTTAGTGTTCCCCAGCTAATTGGAGAGTTACAACTCCACAGTGAATGAAGTGAGATTTGAAGGTGGTAAGAATGCTCTCTTCTTTAATTGAATGTCGATTTTTGAGGTAATTTTGAATGACACTGGGACCTGATTTTTAACAGTCCTCGGTATGAAGAAGAGAAGGCCATTTTATTAACTACATTGATGTGTTAATTTTATCGCAATAATTTACAGAGCTCACCAACAATTACTACCGAAATTAATTTAGAAATTAAACGAACGCGAAAAAGATTTAAAGCCGTCATTGATAATAGGATTGTTTAAATTAACATCAATGAAAATGTACCATTACAAATGAACTACACTCCATTCTTTATTTTCTGTCTGAACTGTTGAATGTAATTTTCCCTATTTTTGCAGATGTGTTTTCATTTGATATTTAAATAGGAATTTTAATTTTTGTTTTCCGGGATTGTTGACAATGGAAGTTTATCAATTTTACCTGAGGCTATACATAAACACTATACATTGTACTTACTAACAGAGAACTTTATCTCAGTAAAGATATCAATTGAGATTTTTTTTTGCGTTTAAATTCTTTAATTATCAAATTTATGTTTACAATTCTTTGTAGTATTTAAAATAACACATGTTAATTAAATGGAATATTTCCTTGAAATTACAAGTAAAATAAAATACATCGGCTGGTCTCCATTTTGATATTAAATAGGAGTTGGGGACTCGTACACGATAAATGGATGTAGTTTACACCTGTATTCAACCATATCTCTATTATCATCCTCGGTACAAATGACCAGAAAAAGTGTGACTCAAGCTTGTGCGCCTGTCTAGAGCTCCAGGGTGGCGCCGAATCACTCTGTCTATCTCGAGAATCTTATTTCCGTGTTTAGGTACAAAAACGACTTAATTCAGGCCGACATTTTCTTTTGTATTATTTTTAATGTAATTTTATTCGAGTCTTAACCTTCATGACATTCTGTAAATCTTTCCAACAGAAAAAAACAACAACTTGAATAAGAACAGTACCAGAATAGGAAGATATGAAGACGTTCATTTTATATTTGTCAAGTTTTTAAAAGAGAAACAAATGTATTGAGAAGCACGGAGATTCGTTTTACCTGGCCAAATCATATCGCACAAACTTATTGTAAACATCATTGTGATGCCCTTCCACTTATGACATTTCCACAAAGACCCTTAGCTAGAAATATAAATCAGCCATGCAGGACTAAAAGCATACCTGATATGGTCTGTTTATTTTTTTTATTTCTGATGATAAATTAATATCAATACCACTTCTTAAACTGATATATGAGAAATCGCTGTGGTATTTTTCTGGACATTTTGGAAATTTTAAGGAGAATTTTAGTTATTATATTAGTAGAGACTTATAATACTACTCGCAATTTACGTTTTCCTATGTAGCAACAGTTCCATTAGTACAAGTTTAATTAAGTAAAATATCTTTCCGGTGTTTATTTAAATACTAATCTTTGTTTAGACAAGATTCAGTTGTTTAGATGGTACCCGTTCTGGGACCACGGTTATATAAGACAGATATGGAATAAGTCCATTCCCTATTACCCGGTATTTATCCTAAAATCAGAGTCTTCCACTTGAGTTATATCGTATAAAAGCAGAACTCTAGTATCAACCTCATCCGCTATATCAATGTTGGTTTTTAATTAAATCTCTATGTAAACAGGCCGACATGAATACTTCCATTCACCTGTAATGCATGATAGGTCAACAAAGCTCCCGACGCGAGGGGAGGGGCAGCTTTTGTCATCTCCGCGCCCAGCTCGACCCATAACCGGTCAAAATGTAGGGGTCATTTATCAATCTGGACAATGTAGGTTGGACACTGGTGACGTAAGTGGTCATTCCGGTTCCTAGTACATGCCAAGTCATCAGCTTGTCATTTCAGAATTTCCTACAAATAAAATGTTTACTTTTGACAATCCAAGAAAACAAGCTTCCTCATGGAAAAAAAAATGTTATGCCGTTGCAGTAAAAAATAACCACCTTCTGAAGTGAAACAGTTCTAGTTAAAAAAAAACAAAAGCACAAAAAACCCTCAAAAAACAAATATCAACATCCTTTTCACTGGAATCATAATTTACAATGAAAACATGATTTTGTTATGTTCAGATTTTAAGAATAGGTGTCGCTGTTACAATGTTATGAATTTTTTAAGGCTGATTTTGTCTGTAAGATTGAAAGGTTCTACAAAACAGTGGCTCGCCGAATTGTGATTCTCTAGGACAAGATTGATTTATTTTTATTTTACATAAAAATATTTGATAATACTAAAATATTGCAGTCCAGCTAATTCCATTTTGGATTTCAATCCTTACTCCAGTAATTGTAACAAAAAAATACATGTATTTCATGTTAATACCTATAACAAATTTTATTATCAATCAATGGGAAATTTTTCACGAAGTGATATTTTATCGATTTTCTTATGAAGCTGTCAGTATGAGTGTTGAAATCTACGCTGATTTTTCTTAGATTTTACTCTCATGTCCATATAAGTGCATTCTGAATGTTACTAACAAAACAGCTAGAATTTCATATATAGAATTAATTTTTGCTGTTCTATTTCTAGTAGGTGGTGAATCGATTTCATCCTCACATGTCATTAAGTCATAAAAATGTCTTGTGTGAAAATTTAGTGATAGAATCAAAACAAGGCAAAATGCTGGCATAGCAATTTACTCCAGTCCCTGTGATAATTATCTCTCAAAAACTCTCCAACCAGCATGGCTCGACATCCGCGAAAATACCATCAGTGTTTATTTACATTGTATATTGAAATTTGAGCCAGATATATATTTAATAGGAATAGGTATAATATTTTACTTCTAAGATAATTTCTACATTTCAGCTTTAAAATATTTTTTATGATAAAAGTATGTAAATATTGATTCCAATATCTGAAAAAGGAATTTATCCTAATTATATACTCACCTTTCTAAAATATACACCCAGAGTATGTTATTTCAATTAAATCATAATTTTCTTTGAAATGATTCAGATGAATTTAAATGATACATGTAACAGTTCTTAGTAATGTGATACCTGAATACCTCGTGTGTTATGGAGCATTTCATTTTTCTATATTTCTTTATAGCAATCTTTATTGTAATTCTGACTATTAAACAAGACTGCCGTAGGGCGAATATTGTAATGGCAGGACCGTTAGTGTATAGAACACATGCTTACTCAGGCTTGTACAGAATTGTGTAGGGAAACTTCTTAAAAAGAGCAATACATGATGATGATACAGGGATCATCTACTGATAACATATTTTGAAAGATAAAATTTCACTAAAACATTTGTATTCCACATATATAAAAGATAGGTTTATTATTTTCTTTTCTTATTTACTTATCAACTTATTTCTAATTTAACTGTAGTAATTCAAAAATAAAAATTGAAAATTTCAAAATAAATCGTCTAAGGTTTAATTTTTTCTAGTTTGTAACTGGACTGTTACATGTCCATTCCCAGAGTAAAAAGATGTTGAACTGTGATTTTCGTGCGGAGTTTAAGTACACACATTAAATGTCATTGCTATTTAATAGAGGCTTGTAGTTACTCCTGCCTTTAGAGGTGAAGAGAGGAACACCGCGATCGCTTATTTCCGCTCCAAATCACAGGTCACATCCATGACAGCGCGGTGATAAAGTAGAAATGTATATTTTACATGTACATAACAACTCGCATAGAACTTCAGGGGTTATATAGCAATCCTCAAGACAAAGGAAGTATCAGCCTCGGTTTGGCAGTATATAGTTCAAGATTAATTTGGGAATTTGACAACGAGATACTATTTCGTATTCTAAGTTGATAGATTCATAATGAAATTCACATTCAATCCACAGACGTAAAAAACAGCATAAAATAAAAATTAGAATAAAATTATTTGTTCCTGTATAAACTAAAATATCCACTTTTCAGACATTTGTGGTTGGCGCTAGCTACAGCAGGTGCCCGTTCGGACCTACTGTATACCTGTTGTGATTGATGGCACGTCGTCAACTCGTGACGTACGCGACAGATGAATGCGAATCTTCAATCATCGAAAAACTCCTAGTCAACCGAGTTGCCATGGCAACTTTCCCTAAAAGATTTACTTTTTGACATTTCCGCAAGAAAATTTCATTTTAAGCCGAATCAATTAGATAATGTATGATGTGCTATAAGATGAGGATGAAAATGCACAAGAATTGATTTTGGTTTTATTTTGCAGGCTGGCTTGGAAGATACGACTAGTTTCATCTCAGGGGAGCATAACCACAGCGTGATCCGTAAAGGTAAGTTCGCTCTTCGGTTCAAGCTATTATAACCATCCTTCCGTCATCTTCTTTCCGGCTGAATTACGTCACTTGCTGACGTGACCTCATTTCGGAGCCTCGCCAATAACACAATATTGTATGCATGTACTCATATTTATGGAATGGGTGAATTTACTGTGATTGTATTTGCAAAAAATAACTATGGACAGAAAAAAAACTCTAAAAGAAAAGTGTGAAAATCGATTAGTTTGAATTGAAGCACCTTTCCAGTAAAATAGTTTTCAGTGAAAATTAAAGGCAATAATTGAACCTCAAAAATATTTTTGATGTTCTTTCCGATAAAATTTTGATGAAATACATTTAAGAATTGTTTAGGTACGGTAGCATATTGAGCGTGAGATAGTGGTTACTACGTGAAATCACCAGGTGCCGATTTCTGTTGGATTGAGACATTTTAGCTGTGATTTCATGGCTCTTGCTCTCCGTTACACATAGGTGGGTTCGGTATTATAATAAAAACATAAAAGGTTGTTGGCGTCAGTAAGCGTGGTAATTGAAAGACTATATTTGTTTTGTAACTAAAAGGCTGCCTTTACCATGACACATTTGTAATGCTATAACGCAGACATTTCCCCCTTCCAACCTTCTGATATTGAATGGCGCTTTGTGATTTGAATAAGATTTCTGATAAAGATTTGAAGCCTTTTTGGATTCATTAGTCATTTTTAAGTTAGGGAAGAGAAACCTTTTACGGAAAGTCGTAGAAATTAATCCCAACTCGTACTGCAGGTTCTTTGGATTCGTTGTTTGCCACAGGAACATATGTCTGCCCTTATAAAAATGAAGTAATTTGTTTGAGTAACATTTTCTATAACAAAGAAAAATGGTAATTTTAAGGACAATTAGTATCAATATTGGTATTTTAGCTCTGATAGTTATCCATATGAACACGATATATTCGGCCAGTGTTCAGTGTCCCAGTAAAGCTTATATTTACGGAAGTAAAATGCCGTTTACCCCCGGGGCTGATTTGTGTGTAACGTTACATTTTTGGTTGGATATTATTTGTGGTGTTGACACTGTAGGTTACAGTTATACGTAAACATGATAGGGTCTGGCTACACCTATAGAGCCCCGGGGAAGTTAGTCTCACTAACACAGGTGAATTCGTGCGCCGGTGTGTGGACCATGAAAGAGAAATTTAAGATTCTTCCCACAATAACTCTCATTGCTGTTGGTTTTATTTCGCTGTGTTTGACGGTCATATGGGTGGCAAACGTCTCGAGATTGTCTATTGTCAATACTGAACACAAGAGGGCATTTTTTCTTGTCAGGCGGCAACATCAAACTAACTTTAAATCGTAATTGTCTTTGTAATTCTAGTCCATCTAATGCTTAGCGTAATCTCGTTCCGTCAACTGACAGGGTCGATATACCCCTTAACCGCCCCTTCTGTAAAGACATCGATTGTGTCCACATATTAAAAAAAGTTTGGTCACTTTTCACGATCCCGTCATGACTGCCTTGAAACCATAGTTTTCGCCAACTCATATTTCAATTCTATATAGTTTCCATTTTGATAACGTGTTCTCATCCCTCTTCCATAGAAGAACTTCGCTCTTAATTTCCTACCACAAACATAAATTACACGTACAGCAGGTCTCTTGGGTCGAGAATTAAAGATATATTATTTACGTACTTAGAGATTGCCTAAAAAACATCATTATGAATCACATGCAACTTGTGTTTACATAGTTCACTACCCATTACATACTACATGTATCCGACGATACTACTGTACAAACTGACAACCACAATGAGTTCACTCCATTTTAATTGATAGAGAGCGTATGGGTACAAATGACTCCTACTGGATATGAATGCACTCAATTCTAACTGTTTCTTTAAGGGGAGAATTGTAACATTGTTGTTCAAACATGGAACCCTCAGCTCTTCCCAGGTGTTTTTGATAACTTCAAATGAACTCTGATTCTTGAGTGTTTGCACATGGAGATGTATTTAAACTCAGTCCACCTCTGTTAGTTTTTAGATTAATGCACAAATATGGTTTTTGTAAATGCCTTCTAATTTCCATTGTAACAGAATTCATGTAGTGTATTATAGATACAAAACAAATATGGCGTCTTTAAAAAGATACTTCCGGTTATGACAACCATTAAATTACTCTAGATATGTTTGTCATCTTCAGGAATATTGCAGAAAAGATCGATTGCAATATTTGAGGAAAGGATTCCAAGTTCTAATATTCTAATCGTCGACCAATTACAAGCCTAACTTAGGTGGAAGTAAACATTGGTGGTTTTACTTAATGAAATTTCTGAGGATGTCTTTGTTTGCCCAATCTTGACTGCAATAGGATAGCAGTTAATTTCATAAGGCACGAGCTCAGAGAACACAATCAGTTTCCCTGCTTCGTCCCCTCGACTGAGAACTGATGCTGAAGCTGATACAGCACGCTATTCAATATACATTCATTCTTCGGGTATTGATTATAAAGTAAATGAGACGGAGGGTCTTGCATTCTTTATTTTAATGTTTGAAGGATTTCTTACTCTCTTTTTTTCATACTTATTTTTCCGATCTGAATTTTTCAAACTGAAGAGATCTTTTTCAAGTATTTTGGCTTAACAAGTCTCGCTAGTGACTAGGGATGCATGGCTCATAATTAGCTAATCTGTATCATTACCAAGCCGAGGAGAGAAGCGAGAGGAAAATTGAATTAATTCTGTTCGGGTGAATATTTCTAAGATCGTAGCTAATGAGAAGAAATTACTCACAGATTATGTGTCTGCGGCCTTCTCTCACAATTTATGAAATTGAAGTAAAAGGCCTATTCCCTCTCTCTCGGTCTGACAGATTTCTAAGCTATCAGACCGCCCTGGAAACAATAATGTACCAATTTCAAGTGCCTCACACACCGAGTGGAATACGAGAATTGGTAATCGTCTGTGAAGCAATTCTCACTTCTACCGTCTAGTGTACTAAACAGATTCAAATAGGGCGATGTAAATCGTGTTCCATTATATAAAAGTTGCTAGTACACTACATGTTTACTGAAATTGTGTGTTTAATGATTTTTTAGGTATCCGACAGAAGAATGAAAACAACAAAGACCTTGTGATCTCCGGTGTTTCATCGCCTAGCGATGTCTTCTGTTCTGTTCCGGGTCGTCTTTCTCTTCTTAGTTCCACATCAAAGTACAAGGTCACAGTAGCGGAAGTACAAAGGCGGTTGTCTCCACCTGAATGTCTCAATGCATCACTCTTGGGAGGTGTTCTACGCAGGTTTGTAGATTTATCTAGCATGCACGTACAATTTACTTTTATGGGTAGTTATAGGATTATCAAGTTTCTCTAACCAGTGCTTAACATATTCCAAGACGATATTGTCTTGTTTGGATGGGCGTTTATCTGTACATTGGGTAGAGGACCCCCTAGGTACAATCGTCCTGCCATCTGATATATCTTTAGAATCGCTGTACAATTTGACTTCATTAAAATAAGGTCACGTGATGCTTGAAACTGCGAACCTCATCATTAGTATTTGACGGTACAATTGTGAGGGTCGGTGGAAGAGCTAAATGACAATGATCCGCTCGGTGGGGTGCAGTTTTCCAACAATCCCTGAGAAACACGGTCTGTCTTTAGTAGGACATAACCCGGGCTAGTTAAAGAACATCCGGCCCGTCTTAAATCTATAACAGCTGACACGGTTGAACTGTACATACATTTCAGTAGAGGTGACATAAGGGGCTACATTCGTGTGAATCAAAGGAGCTAGTAAGCAATACTACATAGAGAGCGACAGTAGCGACACGCTTGTAATTTCTGACAGTATGTAGGACGGGGTAGTGAGGATTAGTGGTATTAGGTGCCAAGATAAATATCAGTAGTGTAAGAGCTCTACAGTGTGATAATGCCCCTACCAGGCGTTACCGTCAAGAGCAGATAATCCCACATCAACACTTTTCACAATACACGGATTATCTTTCCTTGGTGAAAACCAATAGCACGTTTAATCACTCAACATTTCGTAACCAGAATTATTTCTTCGTTTTAAAGCTCAAGAATCAAGGGTTTGGTTATGAAATATTACCATTGTGTATTTGACTGAAGTATTAATGCGTGTCAATGAATATAGAGTATTTTTTTGGATAATTTCAAGTACCGTTTTCAATAGGTGGATTAGTAAATAGTATGGAATTAATTGTGTTCATTACTACTGTATTCTAATATAAATACTTCGTTTTTCCAGAGCCAAGTCTAAAAATGGTGGACGGTCACTCCGCGACAAATTGGACAAGATTGGGTTGAGTTTACCCGCTGGACGCAGGAAGGCAGCCAATGTCACCCTGTTGACGTCGCTTGTCGAAGGTAAATTTAATTGAAATGTATTTATCTCAAGAATGTTTAAATACAAAAATTTTCACGACGTATATCACGGTTAAATAAATTTACCGAGAATAAAGCTGTAACTTTTTTCAATTTTCTGCCGTTTCAACGATCTGATAAGATTTACAAAGTCTCACATGAGCGAGTTATAGGTTTTAGTTTAACAGTGAGGTAAGGAAGTACAGCCATGGTTGACAGAGTGGCAATGTGAGTTGGTGGTTTTGTACATACATGTACCTCTTACCTGTGACGAATTCACCGTAAGGTATACACCACGACACCTATTTCTTTGAAACGGGCACTTTCGTTTAGACCTCTCAGTAAATTAATTTTGCATTACACATACTTCTAAATAATATATTCAGATGATTTGATCGGCGAGTTTCTAATATCCCCCCAAAAAATTTTTTTTTAGAATTTTCAACTGCATTAAAAGTGATTCACCCTCTGTGAAAATGAAACGGCTGTTCTGTATTCTCACCATTGATCATCGGTCGACTGGGCTAAAATATTTTGCTTTCCTGGCGACGACACGGATGATAAATGGGGATAGTGAAATCTCCCATGCGTGACCAAGGTCCTAGAAATACACGCTAACTTAATGAGTCTTAAATCTAGCATGCATAAAGCAATACATATTCTGTATGAGCATCGTCACATCTTCCACACAACTCCCGCAACTTAATCAACAATTATAGACTTATTAATAACATAAACTGTTGATTATAAAGGTATACACATATGCACATATATATAGAATATTTCAACATTTTCTATGCATTTACATATACTTACTCTGATGTAAAAATATTTAATCTCTCAATGTATTTTTCAGGTGAATCCGTGAGGTTAGCTCGTGACTATGGCTACCTGTGCGAGACGGAATTCCCATCAAGACAATGCGCGGAGTACAACTGTCGTACATACACAGATCCCGCAGACCAAATGACCAGGAAAAATATGATTTTAGCCACAAAGTAAGTTTATTTCCCTGTTGTTATATCTATTTATTGAAAATACATATGTAAAAATAGTTAAGATAATATTGTTATTTCAAGAAAAAAAATAATTAAATAGAATTGTATCACATTAAATATGATGTAAAATGAAAAATTAACGTTTTTTTCGTAATTGTTTTTTTCAGACAAATTCTCAAAGAGTTCATGGACCTACTAAATCAGGACAGGTCTCCATTAGGAAACACCCGCCCACAGATGATCCTAGAACCCGGTATCCAGCGTCACCTTACCCACTTCAGTCTCATCACTCACGGATTCGGATCCCCAGCTGTCGTTGCCTCGCTGACTGCAGTTCAAAATTATCTGAACGAGATGCTGAAAATTTTAGACAAAAATTACTCTACATCTCAAAATGCTCAGGTGCCCAGTGGACAATTAGATAATGGAAAGACAAAACAGGAAAAGGATGAAAACAGAAGAGAGTAGTTGTCATATTTCCATGAAAAGATATGGGAGAAAAAAAAAACTGAACTTCCGGTTCAATGTCAAAGAAGTGCTTGATCGTAGCATTAATTCATCATTCTTAAAACGCAAACGGTGCCGTGTTTTAATTAAAAACCGTGACGTCATTAAGTTATTTCACATTGGGATGATATACATACAGGAAATCCAGGTGTCTTTCCACAACGGACAAAAATGGAATCAGACGTAATATGTGAATTAATATGACTTGACATATAAAATGCCACAAAACGACAGTGCAATTTTTTACGATTGTGTTTTTGGTACTACCCATGAAGGTCGGGGCCTTGAACTTTCGTTGCATGTGACCTGGGAGCACTGAGGGTTGTAAGTGCCTATTATGTTGCGTTTGTCCTGCCCTTTTGTGTTTCGAATTGTCTCTTTATCCAGGTCTGTTATTTTTGAAAAAAAGAAATCATACATTGTATTTTGCTTTGTCAATATTAATTTCCCATACATGAAATGGCGATAACAGTAGATACACTGACATAAATTGTGGACAATATCACGTTGTGCATGAATACATTAAAGATTATCACTTCTATTGTGATGGGTGTCAATTTTATGTGGTAAAAGGATGACGGACATAGGTCGCTCAAAGTCAATTTATGTTAAAGAGTTTTACTTCAGCATTCCGGATTTCTCTCACCGTAAACGGGTCGACATACTATAGTCATTGTATCACCATTTTGTTGTATATTGAACTATTTTGAAAATTATTATTATGTGATTATAATTTAAATCTCTAGTCCAAGTTCATGTTTGTGCCGCATTTATTTTAATTTTCAGCAAGCTGCAAGGCGAGAGTGTACATTTTAATTTAAGTATATATGTGAGAATTTAGAAGCTCTGTTTTATTTTGAGATGTGTATGTCTTGAAGGAGTTTCTAGAGACATTCCTCTAACATGTACAGATTGTGTCTATGAAGATGTCTTTTATGAATCCTCTTACCAGGTGTTAACTGTAAGAGAGGTGGACAAAATCAAATATATTCACGTCCATTTCATTTCACAGTGGAAAGGATGTTATTCGAATCCTAATAAAGTTTAGAAATTTCGTTTCTTGTTTACGGTTATTTGTGAAGTGGAAGGTATTGGAGTCAGTTTACACAAATAGGTCCATTTTGTACTATTCATTGTAGTTGTTACAGTAATTAGAAAAGAGCGTTTAACATTAAACACGGAGGATTTTTTTTATTTTATTTACATATCCGTAAAAAGTACACAGCCCAGAGCTATGGTTGTGTTGGATCATATTTAACAAAACAAGAAGTTAGACAAAAAGAAATCTGAATTATCAAGGAAACAATTGCCAGTCAACATTGCAGAGATTACCATTGAGGTTTTGGATGTGTTTGACAAGATTTAAGTAGGTGTCACGGAAAAAAGACGCTTCGCATATAATATATAAAGACAATTTTTACCCCAGCAAATAAGTACCGCAAGTAAAATTTGAAAATATACAAACTTTATCAAAATGCTAAACCCAGCCCATTAACAAACGTGTTTATTACTTAAAATGTGGAAACTCCCCATTATCTGTTCAAATTGACACCGTTTGTATGGTAAAGTTTAATACTCACAAATTATTTAACGATGCAGAAAGTTCTGGATAAAATTGATTTACTGATGCAAATTTGAGAAAAATAAGTCATCATTATATTTTCAAACATTAAACATACAAAATATAGAAGTCTTGTTGTGATTAAACATGACAAATGAACTTATCTAAAGCCGTCAACAAATAGCAATTTAAAAAAAAATTCTCGAAAATGTAACGTTTCTATTTTCTGATCCCGACCGATTACTTACACTGACTTCTTGTACACTACCATTTGACTCCTCCTGTCTGTGCTTCACTTAGACAATGCCGAGATGTTGAATGACTCAAAAATGCTGAAGTTATTTTTTCAGAAATAATAGAGATAAAAGTTTGCATTAAAATTGTTTATTTTTCAGTATATCTGTGTACTCAAATGAAAGTAATTATTAGTGTTTACAGGGATCGTACTATGTATAAATGAATTCAAAAATGATACGATATACTGCGGAGATTAAGCCTGATCATGATAGCTTACAGGTGTAATGCATCTCTTTATTGTTTACAAGAATGAGGCCTATTCTTTCCGTTTACAGAAATACGCCCTGTCATAATCGTTTACAGGATAAAAGGCATATCATAATTGTTTACAAGAATAATACAATAATTGACGTATGTAATGAACACACCACATTCGTCATGAGACCAACAATATCATTTGATATCTATGATAAACAACGGTAGTTTATCTACAAAGGTATTTGTAGAACATTCAATTGATAGATCACCAGATCTACTTCACACATGAAAATGCATTTACTTGTATCCACGACAGTAACCTCTGAATTTTGTAAACAGAAAACAATGTTGGTGGCTATTAATCATCTCCATGGACAAGCAGGTGGTAGGATTTTCTGGAGTCGTAGTCCGAAGCTTTAGTTAATAGAAGGTAATTAAAGAGAAAATTAAGATAAAGCAAAAGTAATTTGTTAGAATTTTATCAGAACATGACACACCACTGGTACACATCAGTCTTAAGTAGATTTGCTTGTATGAAAGTTTAATAACAGTTGACCTCACAATCACAAACATGTCTGCTCGGCTGTGTTAATCACCATTTTCTTTGTCAGTTTTGAGACGGTCTCCTTTAAAAAAATAAATAAATAAATAAATAAACAGAATGTTATAAAGAAGTTGTTATCATGATACAAAAATGCCGTTGAAATCGTGACATGATTCCTATATTTATATTTTATCTGATTTTCATTAAATAATTATGTAGATAAGCACATAAATACTGATAAACTTAAATATATGATAAAAAAAATGAAACTCAAAAGCAGAAATCGGTTCTGCCTTTTAGTCTTCACGATACAAATTGCTTGGCAAATCGATGTTTCCTTTCAAATGAATCTCACAATATGTGGCATGATCAAAATGATTTTTTTGGATTACATGTTCTGTACCTTCAACGTTAGAGAGGATATTCAGCGAGCGTATAATCACCACTAAATTGCTGCCGAATTCCGGTGATTTAACAAGCTATATTGCTCGAGTAATTCACCATTAGCTCGATACACAAAGGCCCGAGGGCTTCCGGGTTAGTGATCTCAAGTACATGGGCAATTTTGACAGGATACTGCAATATCCAACACGTATATATAACATATAAACACAGGTTTAGACGTAAAGTTCACCGAGACGAGTCTTTTCGGAAAGCAGTTTGAGTAATATCATTATAATATACTGGATAACTATCTTTGGTAGTGGGAACAAGGAAGAACTGAAAGTGTTTGATTCGCACGGACATCAATTGATTGGGGATAAATATCAATGTGAGACAACCATGACATTCTTTTACTAAGTTCAGACATTGAAATAATGGAGATAAGAATTTTATGGGAACAGACACTTCATTTTTTGCTAGGTTATTCTAGGGGAGCGGTCTTCAAGATATTTCAATTAATGTAAACTTCCGGTTACGTTGTCTTTGACACCTCTTCATACATCATCGCCGGAAGTCCGTTTGACACATGATGCGAAATTTAGGTAAAATGCATAATTGATTGTGTTTGACGGGAAATTAAACCTGTCCGAAATTTAGCTTGGTATGTGAAACAATTTGTCAATAAAATTTAAATACAAAAAACGCTATTTTCACTCTGTAACTTGTATGTTTGTGTTATATGTATCATATCTACTCTGCCTTTAAGGTTTAATGCCTAATCTGCTGGATTTCTACATAACATCATCAGTACAGAATCACACCCGAGTTAGTTATACAGAACCATGCCTAACGCAAGACCATGACAATACTGCTTAGGGTATTTCATATTGAGGAATGTACAGCAGTCGACCAAGTGACAAAAGAAGTCCGATTGTGTGATATAGTGTACTTATGACAGACAGCTATTTAGGTCAAAATCTGATGAGTGAGTACGAGTTCCTAATGCATGTGACACTCTCCCACTGACATACCATTCTGGCTGACCAAGGCTATTTATTGTCAATGTGAAAATAGTATCATAAATCACATATCAAGCCAAGACATTTTCCTGGCGTAAATAAAAACAGTTATGACCCTGCCAGTGTTTTATCGCTTATTTGTGCCTCGTCTTACTGGACATGAATATGAACAGGCTTGGATGGAACACGTGGTTCACACTCTGTGTTCTACATGTAAATTAATGATAAAGAGAGGCGATCTAGTTTCTACAAGGTGAATATCAACGTTGTAAATCACTGTTATAATTAAAAACAGACATAACACATTCAATTTTTGAATAAGAATAATTCTGACATTACAACATTTTGATGCCATTGAAATAATACTATTTGTTAGACTTTTGACAACTTGACACAGTGATGGTCTGAAAGTCGAATTATGGTCAGATACAGGTGTTCATAGATATTGGTACGTCCCATAACAGGCGCGTTCACCATCCCTCGTTACGGTTTGATACAAACACAAGACAGCATAAAGGACAATATAGAGTTCTGGGTTTCAGGAACCCAAACCACTCCTGTAAAAATACTTGTAAATGTAGGTTTTCAATTTCAAATAAAACTTTATTCTTCTGAAATGAAAATCATTGTTGCTAACAATTAAATATGATCCAATTGCACCTTATGTCGTCTTACAATTAATAGATTCTGTTTTGTTGTCTAGTAATAGATTAATATTTCCAAGTAAAGCACGCATATCGTACTACCAGTAGCATCAATATGGTATACGTGGAGTATCGAACATTTTGGGGGGCATAAAGCATGTTTGGGTTTCTCTGTTACGTATGACATGAGTCCCATGAAAGCCTTGTTTCAACGCAGTTAATGTCCTACACAATATGCTGTAATGTAATGTTTACCAATAGAAAGTCTTAGAAAGTCGAAGTCCTTAAGAAGTCACTAAGCCTTCGCCCTAAAC